GTGCTCACAGCCCCTTTGGCGCGGCTGGTGCGGTGGCTTTGAAACCCTCCGGGCTGAGCCTGGCCTAGAACAAGGCTGCGGACTGCCTGGCGAGGCGGTGACCGAGAGTGACACGGCCGGCGTGTGGCCACTGGAGACCAGGGATGGAGGGGTGGGCAGCTGAGCCCGCCCCAGAGCACTGCAGATGCTTGCTGGGCTGGCCACGGATGCCGAGGCCCCAGGGGGTCTAGAGAGCTCGGTGGCGGCGAGGAGCTTGCTTGAGGTCAGGTGGCAGATGCCCTGCAGCACCAGCAATGCCTTTCAGCCCCTGCCCCAAAAGGGATGGCGCAGCCCCGCAGTGCCTGGCTCCGTCATGACATGGGGACACACAGCAACTGGAGAAGAGACAGGGAAGAGACAACAAGAGGCTATGGCATTTCGTCCTCCCTATTTACCCAGCCTGGAGGAGGCTCAGGGCTCACAGCAGAGTCCTCTGAGCCATCCCCCTGCCCTGGGCAGTCTCGCCTTTGCCGGCTCTCCTTATTTTTCAGCTGCTCTGACAATTAATCAGAGCCACTCCTATGGGATCCCAGCCCTCTGAAGCTGCCAGTCCCCATCCAAATGGATTTTAAGTGTTTGCATCATGCTCTGGTCTCTTTGCTTTGCCCCTGAAGAAGGCCACTGCCGCAGGGCCTGGAGGTGACACCTTGGTGAGAAGGTGGCACTGCCAGGGCTGATGCAGCTGTGGGCAGCCAGGGCCAGGGCTGTGTGCATGGAGAAGAGCCCACCTAGCTCATGGGGACCCTACCTGAGCCACCCCACGCGGGCTGGAAACACCCACCCTCCTCCAAGCTGCTTCAGTGGTGACACCGAGCTGTGCCGAGGGCCTGGAGCCACTCCTGGCCCCTCCGAGGACAGGGGCTACCTCTGACATCTCTCCCCCAGCAGATATGGGGAGACGGGCAAGGGGTGATCTCTGTCCCGGGAGTGGGGCAGGTCAGACAACGAGCCTTTGGGCTATTCCAGCCCTGAGGGCAGCTCCTGGCCCCGGAAACCCGAAGCAAGAGAAAGATGAAAGACACTATCTGCTCCATAAACATCTCTGTTCATAGAAAACTCAGCCTAAGAAAATGGAAACCCCTAAGTCATTGGGGAACCGGAGCTCTGCTCCTCATGGGGCTGAGCCTGGCCAGGCGCTGCGCTTGCTTGGCTCAGGGCCCTCCGCTCCACCTGGGCGCAGTACTTCTCAGGGATGCCGGAGGCTCTGCAGAGGAAAGAAATCATCAGGCACCCTGTGCTACACCGGAGCCGAGCTTTAGGACTGTGGCCCTGGAGCGGATCCTGTTTGATGAGGATGCAAAGGAATCTGTGAGGTGGCCCAGGGGTCAGGACATGGTGGGAAGCCAGGAAGGACTTAGGGACATGCAGGGAACCAGGGAAGCAAGCAGCCACTGGCAGCACATCACCTGAGTTCCTGTATCTTCTGCTGCTTGAGCTGGGCAATGCGCTGGCTGCGCTGGCGGGCCTCCTCCTCCAGCCGCTGGCACTCCTCGAAGGCGGCCACCCGCTCCTGCGCCAGCTGCTGCTGACGCTCCCACATCTGGCGCCGGACATCGTTAGCATGGGCGAGCTGCAGACCTGTCCTCCGTGCTTCCTCCGCCTTCTCCTTCTCCATCTGCTCCTGCTGGGCCCTGTGGGAGAGCTCGGCACAGATGAAAGGCCCCACTCCATCCCCTGTACGTGTTGATAACCTGCCTGTGGGGCCTCAGCCAGCACCAGAGCCACTGTGCTGGCTTGTCGCTGGGAACCCCCACAGCAGCACCCCTGCCACTGTGTCACACATCCCTCGGCCCCATTTTGCAAGGCAGGGCCTGGCCATCTCACCAGCGAGCTCCTAGCACTGTCTCTCTCACCTGAGGATCCTCTCGAACTCGTGGCGGTCCTGCTGCACCTGCACGGCCATGCTGTGCTCCCGCTGGGCGATCTGCTCCAGGCGGCTCCGCTTCAGCATCTGCTCCATCTCGGCTTTCCTCTGTGTCGCCTCCTTCTCCTTGCGCCGCCACTCTCGCTCGGCAGCCTCTTGGCTGCGCTTGGCCCTCAGTGCATCCTGCCAAAGGGGGACAGTGGTGATGCTGGAGGGGTTGTGGAGGGCTTCCCTCAGGGGGGAGGTATGGAAGCACTTGACCATAGTTTTGCCTCTCTCCCAGTGCCACAGCCAGCACTGCTCCAGGACATCACCTGGCTCCAGGTGCTGGTCCAGACCTGCAACACCCCAGTAGACCTACCACCTCCAGGAGAGCTTCCACTTTGCTGGGGTGGTGACGAGGAAGGTGGCAAGTGAGCCAGCACGGGAGCACATCGCGTGTCAGCAAGCCGCTCACCTGCTCTGCCTGGTGGTCCTGGGCCCTCTCTTGCATGGCCCTCAAGCGTGCCGTCTCCTTCTCCTTCTCCCGACGGATTCTCTCCTGCTCAGCTTCGAACTCGGCCTCACGCTCCTGCATGGGACAGAGCCTCGTGGCAGCTCCCTGCAGCACCTCTGCTGCCTGTTGAACCTATGCCAGTGCCGCACACGCTCAGTCCTATTACCATTTTCTGCCTCTGGTACTCAAGCACCCGTTCGTCTGCCATCCTCTCCTGCTCCTGCTGCTCCTCCTTGCGCCGCTGGTTCTCGTCATTGATGCGTTTAATCTCAGCCTGGATTTTCTTCTGTTGCTCCTGTCTCCGCTCCAAGTCCTGAAAAAAGTGCAGAGGGTCTGAGGGTGACAGGACAAGTGCCACAGCACAGAGCGCTCCCTCCGCTCCTCCCTGTGTGCCTTCCTGAGGGCCCACCAGCACACTCGGGGTGAGGGAGGGCTCAGCGGCTTGAGTCACTTTCTGAGGATGTGCCTCAACTTCCCCAAGAAATCAGAGCTTTAATTCTGTCGGCTGTTGCCTCCACACACCAAGTCTGACTTACCCAGCACTGGGTCACCCTTCCAACAAGGTGAAAATCTAACTCTAGCCCCCCTCTGCTCCCTGATCACTGGTCGCACCTTCAGGTCCTCCATCTTCAGCTGCTCCAAGTACTCCAGCAGCTCCTGTGCCTCCTGGTCCCGTTGCTCGGCTCTCATAGCTTGCTCCTCTGCATTCTGCTCCATCTGCTTCACAAGCTCCTGCCTCCCTCTGGAAAGAAGAGAGCAGAAGGTTTCCCTCCGGCTCCATCCCACTCCCAGAAGCAGAAATGCCGGCACGGGCATTGGGTGGTGTGTCTGCTGCCTCGTGCTGCCCAGCCCAGTCACTGTGACTGGGAGGCATGCTGTGGTGTGAAGCCAGCAGCCGTAGGTTATCCAAGCTCCTGCACAAGGCCTGGGAAGAGGACTGATGCCTCCATAGGCAAGAGGATCCCTTTTGCAAACCTGATCAGCTCCTGCTTCCTCCTGCACTCCAGTTCCTCCTGCATCTCGTTGGCCTTTTTCCTCTCCACCTCCATCATCTTGGCCAGGCGCTTCTCTTCTTCCTCCAGCTCTTTTGTGATGAGCTGCTTCTCGAGGATCTGCGTGTCGCGGATCATGTGGCACTTGGCACCAAGGATCAGCTGTGGGGACAAAAGGTCTCCCTGGTCTCCGAGCCAGACTTGGCAGTGGCAGCAGGGACAGACACACAGACAAGGAGGGGGAAAAGGGAAGGAGAGGATGACCCTGGGTAGCAACAAGTAGAACAGGGTTTAGGTCTAGAGTGGCTAGATGAAGCTCACGGGGGCTCTCAGCAGCCTGTCCGAGCAGGCAGCTCAGGCAGGTCTTAACATCTGCAGAAGGTCCTGCGGTGCCAGGTGACGCGAGGGAGCCCCCAGCCCTACCTCATTGAACTCCTTGATCTCGTCTTCCTGCTCCATGCGCATCCTGCTCGCCCGCTGCAGCAGGTACTGGGCCCGCTCCTGCGCCTCCTCCTCCAGCTCGCTCAGCTTCCCTGTCTGCTGCTGCAGGACTGCCCTTTGCTTTGCTGCACTCTTGCGCTCACTCACTGCCTCCTGGGGGGGACAGGCAGGGCTGCCAAAAGCTGGATGCCCTCCTGGGGCAGCCCCGTGAGACTGAGCCTGCCCGAGGGTGCTGTGGGGCAGCCTGGCTCACGAGGGGCATGCTCCACTGCACTGTGTCCCTGGCACAGAGCCGAGGGGCAAGGCAGGCTCCTCCAGCCATGGCACAGGGGCTGGGTAGCCCCTTCCCACACCCCTATTAAGACGCCCCACTCCGTTTGCAGGGTGGCAGAAATGCAACACAGGCTTCATCACAGCCTCCGGGGTCACTGCAGGCTGGGGGAGCAGCCAGTGTGGGATTGCTGGATGCAACCAACACGGGCATTCCTTCCCCACCCATGGACCAGGCAAATCCAGGGATCCTGCACAGCCCTTCCTGGGCTGGGGATCGGAGGAGACCCAAGACACACAGCTGTGCTGCCTCCCCTGTACGCTGCCCCAGCAGCAATGGGCGCACCAAAACGTGGGTGAAAGAGAGATGAAGGTGGCGGCCCGTGAGCAGAGCTCCGGCGACAGCCCCAGCTGGTGTGTCTCTGATCCACAAGGTTGGCTCTACCTGGGCACATCCACCTCCACCTGCAGCCCAAGACCTGTCAGCAAGCAGGGAAAGAAGGGGCAGGAGGGG